ACACCTCTGAGACGGTTCATTAATAAATACCCAGCAAGCCTTTCCTACAAGGAGCCTTTCATATGCTAAACCATCCAGGGCTTCCTCTCTTCAGGGAAGAAGGGTGCGTGAGGGTACAGCAGCCTCTGTCACAGGAACTTCAAGGGGACTTTTACTGGCCGAGTCCTTTTCACGCTGAGCATATTAAACAGTACCTCCTACACCTTGCTGTGCTGCAATGCAATACCACCACCTAGCACCTAGCAGAGCTGCTGCAAGGGCAAACGATAGCTAAAGACTCATGGACAGATTATGGGTGGGATAGGAGTGTTACATTGGTGAAACAGTGGGGTGTGGGTAAGGGCTTGTGTGGGGTTCACAGGTTGCTTGTGAGATGCAGACAGTGCAAGCGAGGACTCACAATGTTGGGCCTCCCAACCACCCTGTATTTTAGGCTGCAAAGGGGATCTCCAGCCAGACCTACCAACACCTCCAGGCTGTGCTCAGGCTTCAGCAGCTGCAGAAGGCTAAGAACAGTCCTGGTCTCCTCCACCTAAGGGATGAGCTGATCCAAATGGTGATGAAGAGAGTCAAGCAACTCAAGAAGCCCAGCATTCCGTTGCCTCGACAACTCTCCATAATCCCAGGTGAGATGACCGGTTCTCTCTTGATGCCAGCTGTGGGTACCCTTCTTGGCCACCTACTGATGGCCATGGGATGCTGTTCCCTTATCCAGTGGAGCCACCCCTAGGCAGCAGGCCATTGCATCCCTTCTAATTAAGCTGTGCCACCTCCAAGTCATCATCTAACCTGTTGTGTCCTGTGCAGGGACAGCTGTGTCCATAAAAGGGAAGCCCTTGGAGAGACATCTGGATGTGAAAACACAGAGACCAGCCAGTGGGATGAAATCCCATCCCTGAGCTCAACATCCCCCAGAGCCAGCCAGCCAACCCACCAATAAACTCCAGGTATCTCACGTGAATGGCCATAGGGTTGTTCTTGGACATAATTTCCATACAGCTTCTTCATACCCATTAGCAGTACCACAAAGTAGTCCACGTGCAAGGAGTTCAGAATTACAGCAACGGAAATTTGGCCGTTGGCTCCTCTCCCAGTTCTTATTACAATGAGGATGAAGTTCTGGGCCTTCACCAGACAAAGTGGGGGAAAAAAAGCAGCATGAGATTTACAAGCCACGGAAATAGAGAAAAGATCTTCTGTGGGGCATCCTGGTTTTGCCATCAAGCATGAGTTGAGCATCCAGCCCTGCTGCTCTCCTTCACCCTCCCTGTGCCCATCATACAGGTCCCTGCAGTGACCCAGAGGCCTTCCTGGAGGACCTGACTACCAGTGCCAGTGGCTGGTGACACACAAGGGACCAACACTTGGTTACCATTCAGCCAAGCACCGTGCAAAGGAACACTTGGTGCTAACGAGGAAATGGGAGTCCTCTGCCAGCAGCCACTGGATGGTGCCACAAGACCACAAACGAACTGCAAACAGCATCCTACGGTTCGAGGAGCCTTCAGAGCCCCACCTGCATTCCCTCCTCCCCTTCTTGAATCAGTGGGAACCATGAACCAGTGGATGACAATTTGCACATAGATAACACTGAGCAATACTGGAGAAATGAAGCGAGTTCCCCAAATTTTGTACTCTTCTAGCATTCTTGTTTTTTTCACTGTTTGAAAAATACACTTTCTCAGCTGCTCCTGTTTTCCAGCACATTCCACCTTCAACTCAAACATACATAAATTCCCATTACTAGCTGCAAATGTTTGCAAGAGCATTTAAATGGCAGGGATAAGGAAGCCCAGCCGGGCTGAATTCCTTTAAGTTCATCAAATGGCAGAAGTGCCTGCCACATAGCATTCTGCTCCAACACACAAAAACACTCCACACATTTTGTGAGTCCACGTGTCCCCAGGATGTATGATCAGCTGCGTGCCTGTGCACTCCCATACAGTCAGTGTGTGGCTGCAGACCTTTAGAGGGAAATGTTCCCATTTTAATCTTTCAAGTTGAAAGAGCAGCAGTACCTGGTCTGTATTATTTGTTACAATGCTACTGTCAGATGTGTTATTTCACAACTGGGTTTCTTTTGGGTGAGCACTGATTGTACTGAGCACTGCTTTTAACGAATTAGATCAAGATGGGATGTTTTCACCTCATTCAGAGAAATGGGATTAGTGTCTCAGAGGAAGGAATGAGCCTTTTTTGCTGTGAAATAGCTGCAGGTCAGGTGAACCTTTGCTCCCATGCAAGGGTTGGTAGGAAAACTGGCCCACGTACCCATGGGCTGTGCTGATGTCATTCACAGCTGATGGGGAAAGTTATTTTCTGCCCCAGAGAGCAAGCAGAAGGAAAAGCCAAGGTGCTCCCCAGCACCTCCCTCCCCCAGAAAAAAATAAAAACAGTAACAAAAAAACCCAAAAAACCATCTTTGCAGCCCCTTTAGAGCACTGTCCTTCCCTACCTTTTCTTGCTGGTGCCAAACTGGGCTGCACTGGTGGGGACCCAACGTGCTCCCTGTGCCCATTGGCACTGCCATGCACTCACTCCATACTGCACACTGCCAAACCCATAGAGCAGAAGGGATGCTCCCAAGCAGGCAGATGTAAAAGAAAGCCAACAGAAACAAAGGCAGCAGAGCATGCAGCAGCATCGAGGAATGCCACATACACAAGTGGTTTCAATAGGCAGACAGGTGTTCTGACAATTCCTCTGCACAAAGATCTTTGTGATTGCATTAAGGAAACAAATTCAGCTTGTCCTATGGGAAAAGCGACAGCAAGACAAAGGCTGACTCCAAAATTCATTTCCCCTGCCCTGTAAGGATGAGATGCTACAATGCCGTGAACCAATGTGACTTTGTTAACAGTGGAAACAATGGGGAGGCTGCTGCCTGCAGCTGTGCAAACCACAGCATCCCACCCTCCAGCAGCACCTTGCAGGGCACCCACACGTATCCCCTCCCTCTCCATCCTTTGCATCTCCTCCTCAGGTCAAATCCTGCCCGGCTGTGGGCTGCAGTTGTGTTTTTATCCAGGGCAAGCAGCCCCCTGCCCTGACCCACCACCCCACTCCACCTCCATACCTCCCACCCCTTCAATTCTCACAGGGTTCCCCTCCAAAAACATGATTTTCACATTGCCATAGCATACTGAAGGGTCCAAGAGGAACCTGGGGTTGGGTTTAGAAAAGCAAGTCATGCTTGCACAAGCTGCTTCCAGACAGCAGGTACTTTAGGGAGCAGGCACAACCCCTTCTAAAGGGAAATGCAGCACAGATACACAGAAGTGACCAACCTTTGCTAGGAGCTTGGTGGCTCTGGAGTGCTAATGCTCTTCAAATCATACACTTTGTGTTTCGTTTTTCATCAATGCCATTTGTCTTTGTGGGACTCCATTTATTAATAACCCTCTTGTAAAGCATGAATGCACGTGGAACAATTAGCTGAGAACCAAACCACAGCACTAATGGTGTGAATGCAACACAGCTATCCTAAATAACACAAAGCTGAAAAAAAAAAATAAAGGAAAGGAAAAATTCTATCAAATTTATTCAGTAGTAATATCTCACCCAGAAAGCTATTCTCCCATAATATGCGGGGCAAGCACAGTGTCATAAATCTTAGTGTTATTAATCCGTAGACTCATTCATCTCTGTTCAGCTATATAAAAGCAATAACCTTGTCACTATAGGAAGGAAGATTGGGCTTTTAATTGCATATTGGTTTCAGGAGAGTTCTTATCTCATAGTCCAATTTGTAGCTTCAGATATGGGTCTTTGCTTCCCATGGTCAAAGTCCATGCAAATCTGCCATGCTCTCATATACTTATAAGTGTCGCTGAAGCTCAGAAAGAACCTATACAGAGCTCTGCTGGCAGATAATACACACAGTCTTTCAGCATCTGCTTTATTAGACAAGCCTATATTTAATTAGCTGCTCTGGGAGAGAACATGCACTTTCACAAGATGATGAAGTTTATGGAAACAAAACCATTTCCGAGTATGTGCACACTCACATCAGCAACCACCTCTGCACCTCTAGCAAGATGCATCCTTTGTCCCATGTCTTACTCTCAGTAAAGGCATAATAATTGGCAGACCTTCTTCCTCTGAATTATTATCAGGCTGGGTATTAAGAAACATCCCTCCTCAGAAAGAGCAGTGAGGCACTGCACAGCTGCACAGGGAGGTGGGGAATCACCATGCCTGGAGATGTTCAGAGCCATGGAGATGTGGCACTGAGGGATGTGGGCAGCAACATGGTGGGATGGGCTGGGGTTGTACTTGGGGATCTGAGAGGCCTTTTCTAATCTTAATGATTCTACAACCCTGTGATAATTTGTCAGAGAGAAAGATATAGAGGAGTTGGGTTCCAGTTATCACTAGGCTTTACTCACCCAAAGGCTCTTGCAGAGCAAACCTCTCCGTTGCTTCTGGGAGGACAAGAGCAGAGTGCTGCTCAGTTTTGCACCTGCTACTGTGTCTCACAGCCTAAATTCACATCCTTGAGGGGAAAGCGTCCTCCTGCTCTACAGATGAGCTTCAGGTGGGTGGCCACAGGCTGCCTCTGGACTGGCCATTCAACCCCCACGTGGTGTGTTCTCAGCACCACGAGTCGGTGCAACAATTAGATCAACACAATGGACAGATAATACAAGAGATATAACAGCAGTTACAGAAAGTTGCTACAAGCAAAGGAAAAAAAGATCGCTCACCCATCACTGAAGATCTCAGCTCACAGGGGAGAGCTTCACCAAGGAGGAATCTACAGAGAGAGACCCTTCCCAATGGCAATCAGCCCTTAAATGAGGTCTGAGAGAGGTGCAGCCAGGCTCCACCCCTTCCAGTCACACAGCTGAATTGCCTTCACCTGTGCTCCCAGGGATGACCGGCTCCTTTCCCTGGGTGCTCAATCAGTGGGTCAGGCCATGACTCAACAATTCCCATAGAGCTGAGCACTTGGAGGAGGATTTTGCATCCTTTTACACACAGATGACATTGGAGAGGGGTCATTCTCGAGGGTTTTTCAATGTCTCTTTATTCTCAAAGCCCACGAATAGAAAATGTTCAGCATATATACAAATATATATGGATTTAGCCAGTCAGTTTGGTGGGAAACTGGAACTTTGTCCTCACCAAACACCGAGAGCTTTCCCTTAGCAGATAGCTTCAGCCACAGTGCTTCCAGGAGACAGATCAGCTCGGAAGGAGATATTAGGGTCCACCTCCCAAGGCGCCAAAACCCTGAGGGATTTCTGCTGAGCAGAGGCAGCTCCGTGGCTATGGGTGCTGGTTCTCCCTCAATGCACAAAGATCACCACTCATGGTGGTACCCACCAAGAAACCAGGTCCCTCCTGGCCAGCTCAGGACTGAGAGGGAGCTTCCATCATATTGGGTGCTGCTCCTTAACAAACAGGCACACGGGTACACGAGTCTCATCTTCAGGATTTGATTTATCCAGCGGAGTTCACTGCATTAACATTTTTGATACTGTTTTCAGCCAGGGTAAGGAAATGAAAACTGGTGCTGAAAGATTAGACATCTACTGAGGGCGGGAATCAGAGGAACCAGCTGTGTCTCAGCTCTCTGTGACTCCATACAGTGCACCTACCTGCAATCTTGTCATCTGTGTGCTTGATCACATCTAAGTGAGGCTGAGAGATAGTCAGCTCGGCGCCTTTGCCAGAGTATCTGCATTGCATAAAAATAAAATCTAACTTTCAAAGTTGCATCCTTGTAATTTTGCACGCGTGCCTTTCTTTCCTTTAGTGAAAAAAGTATTTTTTTTCTTCCCCTGGTTATTCTGCATTTTTCATTACCTTATGTACCTCCACCTAACCACCACTTAAGCGTCTCCTATCTAAATTAAACATTCTTGTGCTTTTCAGCCCCTTTCCAGTAGAAGCTGGCATAAGTGAGAGCATACCAACCATTTTTTTGGCCTCCTATGAACAATGAGGTATTTACAAGTGTTTAATTACTCCCTTGAAGTTGGGCAGATGTTGACCAACTATCCTACGTAGTACAAGTTTAGCTGAGCAGCAAAGCTGCCAGCTTTTGTTCATGACAAAATGAAAACAGCAATTTGAGGTCATAAAGGCATTTTCTATTTTTAATATTCAAGTAAAAAAAAAAAAAAAAAGTAACCAACAAAACAAGACAAAAAATCCAGCATGCAAATAAAAGGCAAAAAAAAAGCTAAGTCTACAATGTGAAAAAGGGAAAAATCCACTTAAAAGAGTAAGTATTTTTAATGAGGACAGGATTTACGTCTGCACAACTGAATCGATCTCCTTTCAAAACATATCCATAAAACAAATGCTCTGCTCTAAATAGGAGTCAACACCAACACCAGCAGGGGCAGTTATTTACCCAGGTAGCAGCAGGGACCAGAGTCCTGCTGGGGTTCTGTTGTGGCCAGGACCTCCTTGTTGGGTAGAAGCTCTTCCTATCTCTCCACACACTGGTCATGCTGCCCGTGTCACTCCCTCCCCCTCTTGCTGAGCTGCTTGAGATTCAGACTCCCCTCCTCCTGGATCTGTGCTGAAGATGACTCCATGCAGTGATGGAGAGCTGATGGGTATGGACTGTGCTCACCAGGAGTAATGGTGTGGAGCAGGACAGCCCACTCTGCTGTCCCACAAGCCACGGGAGATGCTTGCTGGAGCGGGAGACCTAGCAGAGGTCATACACTGAGGGAATGTCAGCTCTATCTGTGATGCCTTCAGAATGTGAGCAACCCAAATCAAATCTGCCAGCAAATTCTGGCAACTTACTGTTGTAACAAGTGGGACAAGAGCAGAAGTTGCAGAAGTCTATCAGAAGGTCTACTTTTGAGGATTCAGACACCTGTTTTTCCCTAACTTATCTCTCAGTGCCCTTTGCTCCAAGATGTTTTCCTAGAGCTCTGGTCTCTCTTCTTCTGACCCCTTCCAATAAACATCCCCTCTTGCAGGTTGGCTAGAAGAGGCAGCATCTCACTAAGGACTTAATCTTCACATCATTTGGAGAAGAAATAACACAAGAAAGATGTTAGTGCAGAGTTTCACATCTAATGCTCCCTGGGATTCCTGCTCAATTGTAACTCTAATTAATTCTAAATGAGAAATTCTCCTGGTTTCATTAATGATGACATCTGCAGGAACTCTGGTTGCACACAGAGGTTTTCAGCTATTGTATCAAATATCTAGCATAGGAATAACAATGGATTATATATATTCCCCAATGAGATCAGAAGAAATAAATACACTTTGGTATCACGGGAAACAGCAAATGTCTAAGTAACATAAATCAGATTAAATATCACAGCAGATCAGCACTGTAGTACCACCAGCAAAATAAAGGTGAGTCTGACTAGAAACACTGCCAGAGAGGAAAATGCCATGGCTGCTGGTTCTGCATGCACTGGCTGTAGCCAAAGGGACACAGCTGAGTTTTCTTACAATACACAACAAAATAATACATAAGACTTCCATAACTTAATTTCTGCTTTTCATAATGCGTGTGATTCAACTTCCTGATTTCTTAAGGCTTTTTTGTATGCAACATCATTATGTACTTTTTAGCCACAGGCATCCAAGTGACTGTGTTTGGACTACAAACTCTATCAGGGTCATCAATAATAAGAATTTAAACCTATTAGTAGAAATAGTAGATGACACAAGGCAGAATCCTGGTCCTGACTGCCAGAGTTTATATGTAAAACATGAGGAAACAGTTGTATTTCAAGAACAGAAAAAGACATTACTTTTGTTACAGCTCTCCTCATGATGGCTATGCCAACAGGCAGAAGAATAAAAGGGTACCATTTTTGAGGAGGGGAAAAACAATAGAAAACAAAACCCTATTTACAGTCTGCCTTATTTGCGTATACTTTTTGTGTCTAAAGTGAAAAACGTTCTATAAAACGCAGCACATCTCAAGCTTAGGAAGTCTGCTAGACGTAGTCGTATTTTGAAGGGTACGAGCGTCCTGCATCCTCGCTCCGAGGAGCTTCTTCATACCCTGGACCCTTCCTAGTCTTCGTGTCAGGCTCGTACCCTGAGCCAGCTTTGTACGGTCCTGTTCTGTAGGAGATGTTCCGTCCTGACGCGTTGTAGGACACCGCCTTGTAACTGAAAGACAGGAAAGATGGCATTAGCCACTGAAGGCCCTCTGACTACCCAGTATTGCACCTTCTGTTCCCATTTGCTGATGGATTTCAGGCAACTTCATAGTGTGTCATCGCTCGGTGCCCAGAGCCAACCGTCCATGGATGGTTGGACTGGATGATCTTGTAGGTCCTTTCCAACCTTGTGATTCTATGGTTCTACGATGTGCTGTAAGGCTCTCTTTCATATGTTCTCATAAACTTATATTTTCTTGAGTAAATCCTCATCTGAGTGAATGACTTGCTGCCAACTGTGCAGGTGTCCAAAGCCCTGCATGAAGTAAATCATAGCTCAGCTGATGCAGTCTTTACTTTATGGTGATCTGTTACACCATCTGCAATCAAAGCTGCAGTTAGTAGGGCCAACTTGGCCAGCACATTACTAGTGCTAGAATGGTTTATTGGATGTTAAGGGCAATCTCTCCTACTCTCTTTTTGTTTTCAAGTCATGCAGTTAAGGAAGAGAAATGGCCACTTGTGTCCCATTACACAAGGCAAGCAGATGTATCATCACAATAACATTTGCAATGAGGGCATTATGCCTAGACCTGTCTTATGATGTGATGGTCACCTGCTATCCTGACATCCAAGGCTTCACATAGCACCTCCCTGTATCCACCACAGCCAGACTTACCGGGATTCTTCTGGAATCATTCCTTTGCAAGCAAGGCACATCATGATTCCTCCTACGAGGGCCAAGCCGCCCGCCACCCAGCCAACAAAGAGGGCTGAGCCAAAGGTGTACCTACAAAACAGCAATGTGTCTGATTAGTGCTGTGACAGTGCTCCAGGCTATTTCTTCTGAAATACACTGAAAATTCTCTCTCTTCTGGCCCTGCAGAAGTTCCCATGAACACAATCCCACCTGCAGAGCGATCCTTCATGGGATCCCCAATCCCTTCTTGAGCTGCATAATTGCAGACATCCCAGTTACTTTTCTTGGACAAGTTACCCTTATCTTGAATGCAGACGCTCATTGAACCTTCCATGTCCTGGGACCAGACTAAGCAGCACCCAGTGTTTGTTTTTCCTTTGGCTCAATCCTGAGCTAAATGAACACCTACCTATTCTGGACATTCTGCATTCCCTGGTACATGTTGGTTGTGGACATCCAGAAGTTTGTGACCAGCATGTTTGCAAACACAGACACTCCAGTGATGGCACACAGACCTGGGGTTGAGCAGAAAGGTGGTCTGAGACTCACATAGCACACAACTTGGTTCTTTGAGACACACAGCGTGTTTGCATTTCTGCAACAATTTCTGCACTTTTCACATTCCAGAAGTAAGAATAAAACTTTACACTACAAAATTCCAACTCATACCAGCAGAAAGGCACGTAACCAGAGAGGCGTGAAGCCTTGCTCAGTCCTCAATTTCAGGCACTATGTTTTGTATATGGAAGACACAACTCACTCACCAGCAATAATAAACATGATGCCAGAGGTCAGAGTCATATTGGCTTTTGCAGAATCCTCCATGGTGCCAATTCGGATGCACTTCATAGCAAAAATGCACACAAAGAGGCCAAGGATGCCCAGGACAATTCCCACGATCATAAGGGCCCTCACAGCCTGAAACATTGCTGCAAAACAAATCAACGAGAGCCATGATGAACAAGTGAAGTGAGACTCGTTGGAGACTGGAAGGCTTTTAAAGACTATTTTTAAATAAAAACAAAAATGTTAAAGGAATAAAAATCACATTAACATACTCCAACTTTCTGAAAGCTGAGTTTATCCCATGGAAAAGAGGCCTTTTATTTTTTTAAAAAAAGAAAACCTAAGTTATCTTAAGATCATAAGATCATTAGAGTTGGATGACTTAAAAGCCATCTAGTCCAGCTCCCCTGCAATGAACAGGGACACCTACATCAGGTGCTCAGAGCACCAATAGCCTTACCTTGGGTGTCTCCAGGGTTGGGGCATCCACCACCCCTCTGAGCAACCTTTATCAGTGCCTCACCACCCTTATTGTAAAAGTCTTCTTCTTTATATCCAATCTACACCTCCCCTCTTTTAGTTTGAAACCATTTTTCCCTTGTCCTATCATAACAGAGCCCTGCTACAGTGATGCTGACATTCCTATTAATTCTTGGTGTGAGAATGGATATTTAACATTGCAGAATTGTATCAGGCCCTTTGTTTAAACACTGAAGGAGCCTCAAACCGTATTGTTGGAAAAGTCACAAGTTTCTCCCTGCATTTCAAAGTGGAATAGAAACCTTATTGTTTTAATATGTAAGGATTTGTTTGTTTTGCCTGTCGCTGCATTGAAGTGCATCTCTGCTGCACCCGTAACGTATGTCACACTATTGCTGTATTGTTGCTTAGTTGACCCTTTTTAAAAAGCAGGAACTGTTTCATAACTGAACTGACTGAGAAAGCACATTTTCCCCAAGCAGTGAAGAGCTTCACCCAGCTCTCTGTGGTATTTTCAACTACCCTGTAAAGTAGAGATCCAGGTTTTCCTCCTTCACAATAAAATAGATGGCACAAGAGAAGAAAAAAATCACCCTGAGAAACACTGCATGTAGATCAAGGGATAGCTACAATGCTTTGGCTATCACCCCTTTTACTGGGCTGGACAGGAGGACAGTAGCACCCAGGTGTACCATATCACATTCTCCAGCTGGAGCAGGAGAGCAGGGAGCAGACTATTGGCCTTATAAAAGGATGGAGAAGGGAAATGTTTATAAACTCTATCTAGGATGCCAAGGTGGGCGCTGCAGTGCCTCCCTGCTTATGGAGGAGCCTGAGCAAAACCATGCTGGTGCCAAAACGAATGGAGAACCAACCATTAACTGGAACTACATTACCTTTTTCCCATCCAGCAGTCCCACTGGGGCTGCTGCTCTTATGACTCAATTTGCCCTTATCTGCTGATAACGAGTGCTAACGAGCCTGGGGTTTTCAATCTCCCATTCATCAGCCCCCAGGTGTGAGCTCACTAGTTATTATTCATTGGAGAACAAGAAGCTGGCGGATATGCCTTATCAGCCCTCAAAAGGTATTCGTGCAGCACCTGATGCAGAACAGAAAGCCGTAAAGAGAAGAAAATCACAATACTCATTTGTCTTTACAGTCTCTTAAATTTGTCTCCAATTGCTGTGGTTTCAGGACAGCTGGTAGAAGCTGATAAAGCAGAGTAGACACAATGGATCCTGATGGAAGGTCATTGTAGCTCTCAGGATCTGTCCCTAAGACAGTCTTATGCTCCTGGGGTGTTTCCAGCAGACCTTACGGTCTCTACCTACCATCACTACGGCAGTCTGAACCCTTAAAGAGGAGGTGATCTTAAGCCAAGACCTCACAGATATCATGGGCTCCCAATAGAGATGTTCCCAGTGCTTTGAGTGAGCCTGGAAGGTCAGAATGGGCAGGTCAAGCACATCCTGCAGAGACAGGACTTCTGGAGCACCATAGACCAAGTGTGATGGATTGCAATTGAAAATGGGCAATCTGCAGATGTAAAAAGGAAGGAGAGAGGGACACAGCAGGGGCACAAGTCAGTGCAAAGCAATTGGTAGTGTCTCCTCAATGTAAAACGACGGTTCCACAAGGCTGATGTGTACATCATCTCTGCTGAAGGGATGGGAAGGAAAAGAGGGTGCTCTCAACTCTGCTGTGGCATTAAAACCCCTTCACCTGAATCATGGGACCAAAAGTGAGGGCCTTTCGTAATGAGAGCACAGTAATTTCAAGTGGATTCTGGCAGCCATCAGAAGTCCTCCAAGCAGAGCTGCTTTCAAAGGGCAGTGACCTCCGATAGAAGGAAGGAGTGGAAGGGCTCAGACAAACAAAATAAGAGTCTAAGGAAAAAATTTGCACCAGGAGCACGAGTTAACATACTGCCCTGTAGTTAGAACCAAGCAAATGACCTGCCCCTCTTTACATATGTATTTTGCATGAGATGGAACAACTGTGCACGATGCCTGGACAAATATGATTGCTTATTTTTGCACAATTTCCACACAAAGAGAAAGCATGCATAGAAAATAGTATCAACCCAAGCCTGCTGACTGAAGTAAATGTGCAATTTGGAATATATGTTTTTCAGCCCCAAGTGGGAATGGAGAGCTATCTCTTCTCCCAGTGTTGTTGTGAGTAGGAGAGGTGAAAAGCACTTTAAGATCAACAGATCTAATATCAATGATCACTAATGCAGAACACAAAGACAGAAAAGTAAGTTTATGACTGGTTCAATGGAATATTGAAACACAGGGCAAAAATGAGATTTTTAAGTTAACCAAGTTCAACCTGAGCCATTCCTTATTTGTGTTTTAAGGTTCTCATCAACTAAATAGACGCAGAAAGATAATAAAAGAAATAGCTCTATTGCACAATAGGAAATGCCTGTGACCATCATACACATTTTCTTATTGCTGTAGAACTTAAAAAAAAAAAAAAGAAAAGAAAAAAGAAAACTAGAATATGGACAACCACCTTCAGTGCCCTGGTCTTCAACAAAACAATTGAGCAGGTCTGCCATGAGGATATGGGGCTGAGAGCCTGCACCGTGTTTTCTTTTAAACCACTCAGTAGATGCAAAAGGCCTACATAAAATGGTGCTTACTTGCACCAAGAGTGAAAACCACTCTCAGATCTGCATTCATTGCTCGCTGGCAGGGTACAGGTGCAGAAGGTCATGAGAAGGCATGGCAAACCAAGCTGGCTGCTGCCATGGCAGAAAACCAGCTCAGGAGCACAGGATACCCTCAAAGGGCAGTGGGATAGGAAAACAGCTCCTTTTTTTACATGACACTGAGGAAATAGGAAGCAACACAGAAAGTAGTACCCTTCTACAACCTACTATAAAAGTCAATGTAAAATCTGAACACACCTCTCCGCTCCTTGCCCTTCCTGCTCTACCCAGAGGCAGATTTCTTCTGTGATTTTGTTATTGAAAAAAATACTTCGATTGGTTTTGGTAGAACACATTATTCTGACAACAACACAAGAAATGCACACAGCCGCTTTCCTTCCGCTTCAATTCAAGGGGACAGAATATCCACAGGTCTAAGTATCTTTACATCAGTAACAGCCAAACCCCATGGCACTCATCCAGAGATCACACTCCGAGTTGTAACCTGCACCGAGCAAAGCTATTATTTCAGTAGCAAATACTCCCATATTTTTATGCTTCTACACTGAGTAGCCCAGAAATTTTATTCCTTGCAAAGTGCTTTAAGGTAGCTGTTCTATTTGTGGGTGCAGAACAGCTCCTGGGTTCAACCTGGTGCATTTTTGCCCTACCTGGCAGCCCAAGAATGGTGAAATACGGCCGGCATTCTGTAAAGCCAGAGCTCTGCCGCACGCAGCTCCTCCACAGTCCCTGATATTGGAAGACGGCCGTCACCGGGTTGTCGTACAAGTCCTGCGTGCTCCACATATCCATGGCAGTGGACATGATGCACCCTACAACACCCAGCGACGAGACAAGGAACCCCATCACTTGGCAGAGGGTCGTGGACATGGCGTCTCCCCCGGTGAGAGGAGTGAGACAGCCCCAGCGAAGCCGAAGACCTAATGGGAGCACCGAGGTCCTCCTGCCCGCACCGCCAGAAGTGCAGCAGCCCTTATCAGATGCTTTCCATTGAGCGGTGTGTTTGCTTAAAGTGTTTTTGCAAGATAGTCCAGTTTCACTCTCACAGAGTCGGTTTGTGCTGGCAGGGCCTGAGATAGGAGACTTTGTCCTTTAGAAGTGCTTGTCCTTCCCTGGCTAAGCAGCCACGCTCGGTCAAGTGTTGGGAAATGCACTTGGAGCATGAGTTGTGCCCCACCAAAGCCCTCCAATGCCTCTTGGGCTCTTGCTGAGTGCTTGGAATGGTGTGAGCACACTGAGAGGGGAAGAGGAAAGGAGAGCACTGCTGGGAGAGCTCAGCGCCCATAGCCCTGGCTGCCTCCTTCTTGGCTCTTTGCTTTGGCAGTAGAGTGGTAAATTTGCCATTGGGACGAGATAGGGACTGCTCTATGGCTTATTATCCATGCACAGTGGTAGACAGGGACATTGGCAGTGAGCTCAGTGGGAGGACATGAGGCTACTGGCTTAACCCAGGGAACAGAGATGTCGTTGCTCCTTGCAGCCTCTGTGAGCATCACTGGCGTCACCTCAAGTGCTGCCCACAACACCCAGTCAAGAACCCCAAGCGACCCAGCAAAGCTCCTGCATTCATCTCCTCTCATCCACGTCCTCAGCACTCATCACTCAACCCCATTGAAATCCAGATGGGGAAAAGATGAAGGAAGAATACAGGGAAGGTGCTTGTCTACATAACCTAGAGCAGTAGTCCTGGAAAATGGGGCGGGGGATGGAAGAACTAGAAAATGACTCTCTTTTCACACAGTGGAGAAGTGCTGGGCTCAGGGCTCTAGAACGTCTCCATAGTAATAGTGAGATATCAGACTCCGAGGTATCAGTGGAGCGCAGTGAGGTACAAAGACCCTTCGAACTTCACATTCATCCCTTCTCATCCAAAACTTTGCTCTGAGAGATTTACTTCAGCCCCAGCCTAGAAACACATTTCTCCTTTATCCGGGTCTACAGCACACCATGCCATAGACACCATCAATACAACTGCCAGAGTATGGAGCTGAATGAAAGCCTCAAGGAAGGGAGAAGAAGCTGATTTCTGTGGATAGCTGAGCTATACTAAAGTAATTACACATTGGCTATTGCTTCTGCCTTCTGGAGAATGACGACCAAGACACTTCTTTTGCTTTTGGGAACATTCAGAGGGCTGGACAGCAGACAGGAACGCTCTCTCTGGAAGCTCCTCCTGTAGCAGCCAAAACTCATTTCACATCCCACACAGAGCTCTAAATCACAGCCACCAAAGCTCTCTTGAGTCAGGAAAAAGATGTCATTTCTCCCAGAAATCTTATTTGAATTTAGTAATTTCTACTGAATTCAGCAAATTTATAACAGGGGAAGAGCTTTATCCATCATGCCTAAAGGTCAGAAGTTACCAGCAAAAATGATAGCAGGAATGAAAAACGTAGAAATGAGCACTCAAAAACCAGGGATGGTAGGAGATGCTCTTTCTCATCAAAGGAGAGGGCACATTCAAAGACACACCTTGTATGGATTAACTCATTACAAAAAATCAGGCTGGGAGCAGCTGGAAGCCAGAAGGACGATGAGGGCTAAAACAAGCAGTGTAGCCAACTCACCACCCCAGCTTGTGGCAGGTGGGGATGGGAAGGAGATGCCTTTTCATCCTGCTGTCCCCATTCCTGAGCATCAATCTAAAGGGACTGTGAACCCATTCCCTCTGCTCCCCAGCAGGTCTGAAGGATTTCTCTTCTCCTTCGTGTCCCAGGACATGCCTTCATCTTTCCACCTCGAGCCCACATTGCTCTTTTTCCATGCTTCAAACCATGTCCCAAGGACTAACATCCCTCTTGGGCATAACTCCTGCCCTCAAGGTTGTTGTCAACCTGCAGTATTTGTATACAACAGCTTTTAGGGCTTCAGGCCTGAAGGGCTGGTCACAGCTAAAGATAAGCTTTGGATGGGGTAAAAAAAGTGGAGAAAATGCAAAGGAACCAATAATATTTCCAAGACATTTTTCCAAAGGAAAGCTCCAGTTCCTTGGTGGAATGGCCTTCCTGCACACCACGTCCCTGTGTTTGCTTTGCCGGGAGGGGAGCAACCACTCCTTCCTCTGACCCTTTCTGCTGGTTTCAGTTGCGTGCAGCTGGAGTGGCATTTTGAGCCAACAAGAAAATTCTCTCCTTCTCCCCACCATTACACATCCCCAGGCCCCATCTCCCATTCCACACAGTCCATCAGATTGTCCCTATTTGTGTCCTCTCCTCGGGGTCTGCCACCAGACAGTGCTGGCTCACTAACCCTCCCTTGGGGATGCAGTTTTCTCCAGCAAATGGGGGAATGCTATTTCTCATCATCATCATCATCACCACCACTCAGGGCCTTCAAAATTACTTGGAACAGTGGAGCACCACAGGACTATCCCCAATAGCCTCTAGTTGTGCAAAAATGCCTGGATGAACCCTATGTGCCTCTGATTTTAAGGGCCCAAATCGAATCATGGCTCTGAAGAGTTCTAACCAGAACAGGATTATGCATTTTCTCTCAGATTCTTGCATGTTCTCCTTCAGAAAACGGAGCTGAACAAGCATCTTCAGAAACAAAGGTTGCGCTGCAGCCTTGAGCTGAGTAACAAATGAATGCCCAGCCATGCTCAACACTCCAGACACTGCTGTGTTTGAAGGATTTTTGCTTTTTGGAGAGGTTTCTATTTGCTCATTGCTAAGCGCATTGCCTAAGTTGCTATCCAGCCAGCCCAATGTTAGCTGCTTGCCATTTCTCATGCTCTGATTAACACTGTGCTCCTAAAGACCAGGGACACAATGCTCTCACAAGTACTTTCCTTAGTGGTTATTTGTAGCAAAATTATGGACAAAAAAGCCATAAACCTGTTTTCCTGGCTTATTTTCCCCAAATGCAATGTGCTTGTTTCTGAGCCGTTCGTGACAGGAGAAAAATTCCCTTTGCAAGAAACTCATAGTGCCATTTTCCATTTTCCAGCACCCAGCCCAATGACAGGTGAGAACTGGAACAAGGTGCTCAGAAAAGTTATGGTTGTCCCATCCCTGAAGGTGCTCAAGGCCAGGTTGGATGGGTCTCTGGACAGCCTGACCTGGTGGAGGGCAGCCAGCCCACGGCAGGGGTTGGAATTCAAGAGGCTTTAAGTTTTCCTTCAAATCTAAGCTGTTCTGTAATTCTATAAGCTGATGGTTTTATCTGAACTGTTGGCTCAGTGCACAGCCTGAGGAATGGTTAGGTGACAGGAAGCTGTAGAGCACGTCTCAGTGTCTTTACCACAACCTGATATACACCTCCAGCCACTCTCGATAGATGTCTATGGCCAGTGGTTGAAAGGTGAAAGACTCAGAGCACGGACCTCCTTAAGGTCATAGAAGCACAGAACATCCTAATTTGGAAGGGACTCGCAAGGATCATGGAATCCAACTCCTGGCTCCACACAGCACCACCCAAAATCCAGGCCATATTTCTGAGAGTATGAGCTATTTTTCAGTTTCCAGCAAGTTGGCTTAATGCTTGGGTCAGAGGGCTGGCTGCGTAGTGATGATGAGCAGTGTCTGAGGAAGGGACACGATGGAGAGAATTTCTCTTGCAAAGACCAAGCTTCCCATCAAGAAATTAGAAACGTGTTTTTTTCCCCACTCGGAATGTGGGGACGCTCACAGAAGGATACCAAACTAGGAAATTAAGGCTACTTTTTGACCACTCCCCTCTTCAGCTCATTCTTGCTTTATCTACCCAGGCGTCAGCCCTGGATTATCTCAAAAGCGTTCACTGGGCCCATTGCAACTCCTGAATGTTATCACTGCCTCTCCCCTAAAAATCACCTACAGCTCATATTTACTTTAAAATTTGCAAATATAGCTCACACCCTGCCAGTCAGTTCCAGCTTGTTCAGAATGAAACAAAGAAAACCCACCCTTTTCTTTCTGTCCTGCCACTTTTCTGGTGACCACAGCCTCCAAAAGTACGTGACCCACCTGTCTATGGCAGAAGGGCTGACTGGCCTTCCTGAAGATCAACGAGGAAAGGGGACACCTAAACTTCTCTGTGTGTGAAGCTGGTTAGGATGGTTGCTGGCAGATATTTCAAAAAGTGGAGATAAGCCAATTGGGCTGAAGAATTTAAAGCAGCAAGTAGAGCTTTGGAGGGACTTTGCCATGGCTGTTGACTTTGGAGAACTGTGACACAGCACTTAGCAGTCCCCATCCAAACGACTGTCCAGCAGAAAGCAATCTCCAAAGAATTAAAAAAGACATAGAGCAAGGTTTTTGCAAGGGCTATGTCAAAAAATGTGTGTTGATTGCCTACATTCTAAAAGAAAACCTTACCAAAATGTCATTAATTAGAAACAAATCCAAGACACAAAAAGCCCCTTGATAGCATAGAGTTTATAACAAGTCCAAATGAACTTTGAAAAGATTCAGAAATCCCAACATGAAAGCATACGTGGTCACAGAGATTACCAGCTACAGAAGTTTAATGGGGCGCTCTCGAACTCAAAGTTTGCTTTTGGAAAAACTAAAATAGTCTTATTTTTTAAGTCAACGGCCATTTGTTCCAGAGTCAAGAGATATCCTGGGAGGTCAGAAGGGGCTTTGCCTCAAGAACAAAACGCCCTTTCAGAAATGGCCAAACAGCTCTAGCTGAACAGGTCTGGAAAAAAGAGAGCGGGGCAGACGAGAGGGATATTACTGACCAGATTACTGTTGCTTAATAGACCTGTAAGTCTATTATTGTCTATTATATACAGTCTTAACAGACCTGTAACTGAAAAAAACTCTTCTTTTTGCAGAAAATGTGACTTCTGCAATAGGTGAAATAATCAGCTTCACCAGCGCTCTGCTACTACTATTTCTCTACGACTTCATGATCTAATTCACATCATGTCCTCCAGACAACCACAGTAAGGACTGCCCACACACCAAAGCAGGCAGCAAAAATAAATAAATAAATAAATAAATAAATAAATAAATAAATAAATAAATAAAAGCAAAATCAGAACAAACAGGCTTAGATCTCAAGCGACATTTTTCACCAGAGACTGACTCTTTATAGCCAGGCAGCAAAGGCAAAGAGCCATCATGCACCCG